TTTAAGAAATGGGTATTCGTGTGTTAAAAAAGAATAATTATATTTTACTTGCTTATTTATAACCATTCTTTTTTTTCCACATATGAATTGAAATAAAGAACAAACTGACAGTAACCAGAGGGGAGAGGAGAGAGGGATAATGGGAGAAAATAGTGGAAGAGCCATCAAGGAACATGTATAAAGGACACATGGACAAAGCCAAAGGGGGTAGGTTTGAGGATGGGAGATGGGGATGGGTGGGGTAGGGGGCATGATGGGGTGAAAATGGAGACAACTGTACTTGAACAACAATAAATAAATACAAAGCGAATATTTAAAAAAGAATTAGACTATTACCTCACAGAATACAAAAAAATTAACTCAAAATGGATCACAACCTAAATGTAAAACCTAAAATCATATAACTTCTAGTAGAAAACATGGGAGAAGACTGTTGTGACCTTGGGTTATGTAAAGATTTCTTAAGTAAGATGGAAAATTCCTTTTAGAAAAGTGGTAAATTCTACTACAAAATATAAATTTTTATTGTTACAAATTTTTTATTGTTAAAATGATACCATAAAAAAATGAAAAGACAAAAAGACTAAAAATATTTGCAAATTATATAATAAAGGAGTTGTATCCAGGCTATATAATAAACTCCTACATGTGACTCAATAACAAAAAGACAAACAACCCAATTAAAATATTTTCACTAAAACAGTCATGTGGATGGCTAATAAGCACATGAATAGAGGCTCAACATTGGTAACCATCAGGCAAATGAGATTGCTAGCTACACTGAAAAGACTAATAACACCAAGTTTTGGCAAAGATGTGGAAAAACTGGATTGGTTATACATTGCTTGGGGGAATTAAAAATTATACATCTACTTGGGAAAACAGTTTGGCACTTTCTTAGAGTTAAACACATTCACGCCATTTGGCCCAACAATTCCCCACATAGTGGTATACATGAATGTTACTAGCAGCATTATTTATAATAGCCAAAAACTGAGAACAACCTGAATATCCACCAATGGGCAAATAGATAAATGAAATGTGGTACCTCCGTGTAATTGAACACTATTCCATTTTAAAAAGGAGCAAACTACTGATACTTGTTACAATTGGATGAGTCTCAAAAATACTGTGTTAAGTGAAAGATACCAGACACAAAAAGCTATATGATATTGCTGCATTCATCTGAAATTTCTGAAAAAGAAATTGTTCTAGCTTAAAGTTTATTCTAGGAATTGTTCTAGAAATTTCTAGAAATTGTTCTAGAAATAAGTACATTAATAGTTACCTGTGGCTGGAGCCAGAGACTGACTGCAAATGGACATGCAAGAACTTCTAGAAATGATGTAAATGTTCTAAAATTAATTTGTGGTCATAAATGAATTTTATCAAATTTTATAAATGAACTGTATTAATTTTAAAAAATCATTGACCTGTACCTTATGTAGGGGCTAAAAAATATTAATACTTTCCCTCTCACCTTCTAAGGTCTTCTGGCTAGGCTAATAATCAAATTAACAGAGGCAGATTAACAGGAGAAAATTAAGTTTTGATATATGCACATACAGAATTCACATAGGCATAATAATTCTATGAAAACTCCAAATATAGTGAGGGAACACTTAGTGTATAAGATATTCTTGGACAAAGGAGGAAGGAAGTGGGAAGTGGGGTATTTAGATTTCAGAAGTGAGGTGGTTTGACCAGTCGAAGCTGATAGCAATCGAGTCAAGACATTAATTAAGAACAGTCAATGTTATATCACACAGGAGAGAGCCAAATGTACTCAAAATATTCAAATCAACAAAATTATTGGTGAAAATGAAAAAATATGTCTTTTATTTTAGAGAAAAAACTAAATGGACTTTTTGACCAACTCAATAGTTTTCAGAGAACAGGTCTTTTATCCCTTTGGTTAAATTTATTCTTATGTATTTTATGCTTCTTGATGCAATTATATAGTGGGAATATTTTCTTTCTTTTTTTAGAGTTTTATTTATTTATTTTTAGACAGGAAGGGAGGGAGAGAGAAGGAGAGGGAGAGAAACATCAATGTGTGGTTGCCTCTCAAATGCCCCCCCACTGGGGACCTGGCCCACGACCCATGTGCCCTAGACTGGGAATTGAACTGGCATCCCTTTGTTTCCCAGGCTGGTGCTTAAACCACTGAGCCACACCAGCCAGGGTGTAAATGAGAATATTTTCTTAATTTCTCCTTCTGGTCACTTGTTACTGGTTTATAGAAATCCAACAGATTTCTGTGTATTTATTTAGGTATGCTTTCAAAAGTCCATTACATCAGCTAGCTCTTTCTGGATGGTGTCGTAAAATGTATCCCGTAATCATAATCCCGCAACTATACTTTGCTAAATGAATCCCTTGGTCTGATGAGATATAATGCAGAATCTCATGTCATTAAAGCAAATCCTCCATGAGCTTTAGAGAGTGATGTTGGCTAGAGACTGGCTGAGAGGGAAGGCAGCCCGCACTCAAAAGAGGTATCGATTTAGTCAAGATGAATAATCACTGCCCCTTTTAGAATGGAACTCATCTAATGCGATTAACTTACTACCAAGTGACTGATTAGTCTCTTCAAATGAGGATTGGTTTCTGTTGCTGGCAGTTCAAACAATCAGCTGCTGAAACAGCCATATCAGTCTTTGTGAGGGAAAACACCTGCTGTTTAGCCCATAGATAGCTTTCTACAATGGCTACTCTGTTCCTTGTACCAGTGATAAAGGTTGGACGGCATCAACTCCTTGGGTCATTCTGTTGATTGTTGAGCCTAGTGGGGATGATGGAGGCCCAGATGTGCCTGGCACACAGACAGCTAAGGAGGTGAGAGAAACCTGACTTGGCTTCAAGGGATAAAATACTCCTGTAAGACAGGGCATTGCTCTGTACTTGTTGAGGGACTAACTCTCTCACTAAACAAAGGAACCACAGATTCATGGAAATTCATGTATGTGGCTGAGATATCTAACACTCCCCCTTCATTGAGATTCTTCAAGAGCAGAGGACACACTCATGGTCACCCAGTTCTATGAAAGAGGTCAGGGATTTGAACTAGACCTCCTATATCATATCTATACATGGACATGTTCCAGATTTACAGGTGATAGAATCCATGAGGGCAAAGCCACGATAGCAGGAAGGGAACAATTATTATATGAAGCACTCAATGTTAAGTTCAGAAACATTATTTCAAAAATGATTTCTCTAAGGCTTCTACCATGCATGACAGGCTGGCACTCTGTTTGCACATGGCATATGAAAAAGAATATTTTGTACAAGTCTTTTGTACAATCATATTAAAGTCTTTTAGAACCCACCTCAAAGAAAGCAACAATCTAGATTAGTGAAAAGTAGACTCTAGTATAAGGATATAGGGGGTCTCTTAGAAGCAAAAGTGCAGGAATATGGCAGGTCTGGTGGAAAATGAGAATCAAGAACTGTGAACACATGAGATTGCCTTCATCATCTCTCATCTTTACTATTTCGCTGTTCTTTCTTTTCTCTTCGTGGACTTGGTTTCTCTTTACTTCCCTAGTACACACGGTCAAACACAATTACCGCATAGCTTCCAATTTTGCATGTTATGGATCCAGGACTCACTCCCTGAGTATTAATGACAATTTCTTGAAAGGAATCCAACTGATCTAGGTAGAGCCAGTGTCACATAGCACAAACATGAGTCCCTCATCTCTGTGGATAAAAAACAGAGATGACTCATAGGAAAATAAATACTCAGAGAAATGGTACTACTGGCTCATAGGCTAGAAAGCCAACCAAAAAGGTGCTGCAATAATAAATTGGAACTGATTCAGTTAAATATGGCACTGAATTCTGCCTCCAAATGTTATAGGGCTTCCTTAGAGAAATTATTTAACACATTTCATTAATAATAAAAATATTTATTAATTGGGATGTTTGCTATTCTGTGCTACCCACTGTGAACACACACACACACACACACACACACACACACACACACACGTATATATGCCTCATTTTAATTTAATCCCACAACTCCATGGAGTTGGTTTAATTATCTCCATTTTACAAATTAGGAAACCAAGGAAATGCAAGATTAAGTAATTTTTCTATGTGCCTGAAGTTGCAAAGGCAAAGGCACTTCCTCATCACTCTGGCTCCAAACCCCATGCTCTTAACTGAAAGGGTAACTTTAAGCATATTTTTAGCAGTTGGTGCCAGTGTCCAAATCCTGAAGAGACAGTGGAAACTGAGTTTGCCCACTGGGGTTTGGATAGTTGAAAAAGTTAATTTCAGGGAAATGAAGGGACTCAGAATATAAACTTTGCATTGTAGTAATGATTTGTCTAAATGGAGATTGCTAGAAATTTTGTTCTTGGTCTATAATATCTGGAATTTGATTAGTGTTGACACAAACTTCTCCACAAATTTGGGTAGGAATAGATGTGCTCTAGGTACAGTAAGAGAAGAAGTTCCCCCAAATTGGCTGTAGGCTATTAAATAGAAAATAATTAAACCGGAAACACTCTGAGCTCCTACAGTCAAAAAGGCATTGGATAGTGTCATTTGGCATGTCTTGGTGTTGGTAATTTTCTAAAACACAGATTGAATTTTAGCTTGGACACCCATTAGCTAGTGACTTCCTCATTACCACGCTCTTCATTACACAGTAGAGCAGAAAACAACATGATTGGCACATACAAATGGCAACTAGCCTGCACATGAACAAAGAAAGCAGTATAATTTTTTACAAAGTTTTAACTTTATTGCTTGTTTTTTCAGAATAAGAATGCATTTTAGCAGTCACTTATTCTTGGTTCTAGATGATTTAGCGCAACCCTGTCCTCACTCTACAGAGTTCATGTTGCAACGTCAGTCACTCAGGAAATCCCCATCCTGATGCACATTGCTTGGATGGTTTTGTATGTCTATGCTTATCATGTGGTCTTTTCCTAAGGAATCCCCTGTGTGCACAGAATCACAAGATACACTGCTTCCTCCCATTATCACTGGGTGAAGTATTTCTGACTCACTAGGCTCTTCACAGCAACCTTCACATCCTTGTTTCTGAGGCTGTAGATGATGGGGTTGAGCATGGGAGTCAGCACTCCATAAAAGAGAGAGATGAGCTTGTCTGAAACATCCTGTTTGTCTGCCCGCAGTGAGTCCCTGGATTTGGGTTTTGCATACATAAAAAGAATAGTCCCGTAGAAGATGATCACCACAGTAAGATGAGCAGAGCAGGTGGAGAAGGCCTTTCGCTGGCCCTCAGCTGAGGGGATCCTTAGGATGGTGATAAGGATGAAAATGTAGGAGACAAAGATGAACAGAACTGGGACCCCTAAAAAGATCACATTGGCTACGGCCATGCTGATCACGTTGATGGAGATGTCAGCACAGGCCAACTTCAGGACAGCCAGAATCTCACAGGTGAAGTGGTTGATGATGTTGTCCCCACAGAAGGGTAATTGTACTGCAAGAGAAATCTGCACCAAGGAGTTGACTCCACCAGCCAGCCAGGAGCTGGCAGCCATGGGCACATAGGCAGCCTTGCTCATGACCATGGGGTACCTCAGGGGGTTGCAGATGGCCACATAGCGATCAAATGCCATCATGCCCAGAAGCACACACTCTGTGGCTCCCATGGCAAAGGAGAGAAACATCTGCACAGCACAGCCTGAGAAAGAGATGGTTTTCCTGGGAGTGAGGAAGCCATCCAAGACCAGAGGGATGGAAGAGGTTGTGTAGCAGATGTCCAAGAAGGAGAGGTTCCCCAAGAAGAAGTACATGGGTGTGTGCAGGCAGGAGTCAAGGAGGGTCACCAGGATCAGGACCCCATTGCCCAGCAGGATCACCAGGTACATCAGCAGGATGAGCACAAAGAATGTTTTCTCCAGTGTTGGCTGATCTGATAGCCCCAGCAAGACAAATTCTGCCACAGTGGATTGGTTGGCCACTTCCATTTTGGATTTTCTCTCTTACCCTCAGGAAAACTGAGAGCAACAAACACATGTTCATAGGAATCAGTATGTGAGGATACAATGAAATGCTTCCAGAACTTATCATTAAATGTACCCTTTGACACACCAACTCATAGTATCAGTGTCTAAGAGATAAAATTCAATGTCTTCTAAAATGACCTTAAAACTCAGAATATATCACATCAAAAGCAGGAAAGGGACAGCCTGGAAATCTAATTGAACCATGATACATGGAAGAATTTACCTGGATCAATAATGTTAATACACTTGAAGGAGGGGATGCATAAAGATGACCCTACATGGGGACCATGAAGCATAAACCCAGAGGGTCAGCACTCACTGGCCCCTCTGGCCAGTCCTGCCTGTCCCCAGATTGTGCCTGCAGTGTCCTAGGAGGCTGTTATATTCCCTGATGCTGACCACTGACCTCACCTTGCTGCCCTGGTTCTAATTCTGTATTTGTATAAAAATTTTTCTGAGGACAATTTGGCTCCATCCGGAGTCCTATATGGAAGGAATGTGATGAACACAGATGAGAAAGATTACTTGATCCCTGGTTTATACTTTGTTTCTTAGGAGTTTGTTTGGTGATTCCCCTTCATGGCACTGTCAATAGGAGTTCCTGGTTGATAGACCGTGGAGACCCTAACAGAAGCACTTCCACATCGCCCTCCTCTAGCCACAGCTTTTATCCACAGCACCGCAGTTTCTTTAGTCTGCTCCAGCCCTGAGGGTTGGGAGCAGGAATACAATCCAAGGACAACCATCCTGTAAACCTCCCACCGTAAGCATCTGTGACATTGTGACCAGGCTCCATGCTTTTGGAGCTATTTTATAAGTCATAACTCCTAGTTCAGACTCTTCTCTCTCTGAGTTGACCATTATAGCCATTGCAATGCCACAGGAAAGCAGACGGTTCTACCCAGCCTTGCAGAGAAGTCAACTCAAAGGAGGTATTGCCTACAGGATGTCCTTCAGTCACTGCAGAGTGGTCCAGTACATCAGAGAAAAGCTCAAGCCTGGACTGTTCATGTTACCGATGAGGAAACCGAAGCTCGGAGAGGTCAGAGGCAGTGTGGACAGAGCCAGGACTGAAGCCTGGTTCCCAACCTCCTCCCTAGGGCTCCTTCCCTCGCCACTCTGATTGTATTCTGGCTTGTCCATTTGTGCCACAGTTTGTTTATAGAGGCAGAGAAGCAGTTATGAAGTCTTGGTCCTTCTCACTCTCCCTAGAACATTTGTGAAAGATACAGGTGTTCCACCCTTCTCCAAAATATCTGCCTCGTAGAAGGGCTTGGGTGGATGGGATGTCCCCGGGCTTCACACATTGCCTCTGCGACTATTACACTGTCACTGGCTGAGGAAGGTCAGATGGAATAAACAAGGCACAGTCTGAAGTTATCTTCATGCAATTTCCAGAGATTAACTGTGGATATCAGAAATATTAAGGGAAAAGAGATCTGTTTTTAGAGTTATCAATACTATTGACTGGAGAGTCTCAGACTTGGCAGGAATGTTGTAAAATAATTAACCTTGCCTCTTTCACCTCCCCAGTATGAGCCTTATATGAAACACAATTTTCCCATTTCTGCTTTGAACAATGTTTAGTTGCGTGAGTGCATAGCTCTCATTCCTTTGCCAGACAGACTTGATTGTTGGAAGTTTTCCCTTACTATAAGGAGCAATTTCCTTCTTCCAGTGCCATCCCCACTCCTCACATCTGCCTGCCCCTACATGGGTCTGGACTCCCAGGACATGCCTGCTCCCTTCCCCTAGAAGGACCCTTCAGAGACATGGCAGCTGTGACCAGGTCTCCCTCATAACTGCCTCTTCTCTTCCGCCCACCTACCTGAAGAAGCTCTAGCCACAGAGAGAACTTGGTCTATGTCCTATGTGGGGATGAGGCCATGCTGTAGGCAGGAGCTCACCTGGACAGAAGGTCTCATGGCAGGGAGGAGGATAGGAAGGCCTCTGGGCTTAGAAGGTGATTGCTTCAGTGCCCACCTGGACCATCCCTGACAAAGCCCTGTCTGCCGGTCTGTGCCTGGGAGTGAGAAGCAAATCCTGTTTAGCTGTTTTGAGGCTCAGAAGTCCCTTCAAATTTCACAGCAAGGTAAAGAAATTTAGGGCTGACCATAACTGAAAGGGCTCTTGTATCTCCTTTTCAGGGGCCTTCTCCATGCCCGGTTCAATAACAAGAGAACAGAGGACACAAGGAGCTGCTTCCCAGTGGTCCTGGCAGTCATGCCCAGCCTGCATGCTCAGGGCAGACACCCTCTGCTCTTTGCCCCCACCATCTCTCCCCAGGGGTTCTTTTATGGAGCCCTAGAGCAATTTAGAGCTCTGGATGTTTGGGGAAGGTTTTAATCCCAGAAGCAATTTAAAGTTTGGTGAAAGTCCTCACAGGAGTTTAGGGCCTATGTCCCATAAACCCAATTAGATAAGATGCAGACAGTTCTATGTAAATCTTAACTTTCATGTCAAAGAAATGTGCCTAAGATTAGGAGGTTCCTGTTCTGTTTTTGTTGACTTCTCTGAAAGGAGAGGGATAACAAAGGTCTGACTGTGCTTTGACCACAAGGGTGTCTGTTAGGGGTTCTCTTCACTTGTCTTTGCAAAACTAAGAGTCAAAAACAAGAGGTGGAAGTTTTGACTTGTTCCCGACAGACATACTGGTCTTTACATGCTCCAGAGCATGTGGCCCTCATACTGATCACCACAGTAAGATGAGCAGAGCAGGTAGAAAAGGCCTTTCACTGGCCCTCAGCAGAGGAGAATCCCCAAAATGGTGGTGGGGATGAAGATGTAGGAGACAAAGATGAACAGGACTGGGACCCCCAGGAAGATCACACTGGCCACTGTCATACTGATCACATTGATGGAGATGTCAGCCAGGCCAATTTCAGGACAGCCAGAATCTCACAGGTGAAGTGGTTGATGATGTTGTCCCCACAGAAGGGCAGTTGCATTGCTAGGGATGTCTGCACCATGGCAGTGGAGTTTCCAGCTACCCAGGAGCCGGCAGCCATGGGCACGTAAGCAGATTTGCTCATGATCTCTGGATACCTCAGGGGATTGCAGATGGCCATGTAGCAATCAAACGCTATCATGCCCAGAAGCACACACTCTGTGGCCCCCATGGCAAAGGAGAGGAACATCTGCATGGCACAGCCTGAGAAATAGATGGCTTCCCAGAGGGTCAGGAAGTTGTCAAGAATGAGGGGCAGATGGATTTATGGTCAAGATGGTGGCATAGATAAACCCAGATTGCCTCCTTGCACAACCACACCAAAAATACAATTAAAATATAGAACAACCATTACTCAGTGCCATTAGAAATCAAGTTGAATGGAAATCTGACAAATGGGGAATTAAAGAAACCACATCCATCCAGACTGGTAGGAGGGGTAGAGATGTGAAACAGGCTGGTCCCACATCCACATGTGGTGGATAAAAATTTGGGAGGGATGTCTTGGGAGCAAGGAATCCCAGCCCCACTCCAGGCCCCACAGACTAGGGTTCCTTCTAGTGCCAGGAAGGTAAGTCCCCATAACTGGCCTCAAAAACTAATGGGGATTGAGTCAATAGCAGAAACTTTTGGAGTCCCAAGCAGTTCCTTTTAAAGAACCTACACACAGAATTACTCAGACTCATTCCCTCTGAGCTCCAGCACTGGGGTAACAGCTTAAAAGTCATTAGTGGCATATGGGAAAAAACTGAAGTGTCTGGCATAAAGGTGAAAACTAGGGGACAGCTTTCTCCCAGACAAAAAGGTGGGCAGAGGCCATTGTCACTTTTCTGAACCCTCTCCCCATAGAGCCACAGAACCAGCAGGCTGGTGCCATATCTGAGTCTCCTTCAACCAGGCTAATACTGTTTGCACCACCCTAGAGATCCCCAGAGGCTCTGTCCCACCCAAGCTACTTTTCCACGTGAATGGCTGGTTTTGGCTCATGCTTCACAACTTCCTAAATCCTCTCAAACATGCAATAGCCAGCCTCAGTGAGCCCCCAGGCCCTGTACCTCTTACTAAGGGGCCCTGGGCCTGGCACTATCACCAACCAGCCGAAATTTACAGCTTGGCTTCACCTGGAAATCTCCAAGCCCAGCACAAGTAGCAGCCATCTCAGATTGCTTTATAAGTCAGGCAGGGTGTCCCTAGGCAAAACACAGAGGGGGACTGATCTTGTTCTGCACCACCCAGGAAACTCCAGAGCCTACGCACCCAGGGGACAGCTGCAGACCATGTTGGAGCACTACCACCCTGCCCCTACACAGCTGATCCTCCTTGTGGGGCAGAAGTTGGTAGTCAGTGGTCACAGCCAATCCTTGCAGCTGACTGGCCTGGGTAAATCCCTCCCATTGATCTGCTAACAGTAATTAAGGCTCAAAAACAAGAGAAGGGTATACTCAGCCCACATTAAGGGAACCTCAAGTATCCAGCTTGGGTAATAGGGGAGGCTGTGCCACTAGACCATATAGAACACCTACTACATTAGGCCACACTACCAAGACAGGGAGTCAAAGCAGCTGTACCTAATACATAGAAACCAACACAGGGAGCCTAACAAAGTGAGAAGACAAAGAAACATGACCCAAATGAAAGAACAGATCAAAACAACAAAAAAGAATTAAACAAAATGGACATAGCAATCTATCAGATGCAGAGTTCAAAAGACATTATAAGGATGCTCAAGGAACTTAGTGAGGACCTCAGCAGCATTAAAAAAAAAAAACAGTGAGAAATGAAGGATACACTAACTAAAATAAAGAACAATTTACAGGCAAACAACAGTAGAGTGGCTGAAGCTGAGAGTCAAATCAATGATTTGGAACATAAGGAACCAAAAAAACAACCAATGTTCCTTGTTCTTAAGAGCAACAAGAAGAAAAAGAATAAAAAACCCCCTGAGGATAGTATAAGCAGCTTCTGGAACAACTTTAAGTAGTCCAACAATTGCATCATAGAGTTGCCAGAAGTA